AAAAAAACTCAGTGTCACCTCTAGTTTTTATTGACAAGTGATCGAAACTTAACATTAGGTATGATTTTGAAAAAGAAATAGTTGGTGACCAAAATGAAACTGAAGTAATAGTTGAGTGACTAAAGATGAGTTTACCCTAGATTTTATTTCAAAGGGTACTTGGGAATCTCCTACAGAGCAATGCAAAATAAGGAAAAATAGAATTTGGACACGTGAGCAAAATGGTGGATGAGGTCAGCAATGGGGAAGACTTGTTTGCTTTGAAGCTTCGTTTATTGGGCGAAAAGTCAATGGTTCTAAGTTAGGAGAGAGTTAGGGTAACACTTTCTCAAACCGCATGAAATTATTAGGTCCACACGTTTTTCTTTTTTTTTATTCCGAGGATTTTAATCCGATTGTTGCGTTCCAAAGTCTAAAAAGTCTTTTATAATGATTAATTAATTAATTAAATATCTTATTAAAATATGTGATGAGGTGCCAAGAAAATATGAACACATAACCAAATCAAAGGTGGAACCTTTCGTGTGGCTTCACTGAAAAAATAAATATTTTTGACCCTTATTTTTTAGAACATTTTTACTGATAATGTTTAGTAAAATTAATTTTGGATCATATTTTATTTTTGAGTATTTTATTCTCTAATATTTTCTAACATTTCGTTTTAGGAAAAAAAGACACATAATATTTAAATGTATAGTCATTTTCAAGCTTATTTTTTCCTAGAGTGTTTTGAGCCAACGATGCTTGTTATTTAGTTAAGATAATGTGATTATAAAGTAATATATGTTCTAAATACTCTCAATCATTTAACAATGAACGCTTAATCACCCCCTACTACAGTCGTTTGTGCTCGAACATGTGACCTCTAGGAACAACATGATTTATTTAACCACTGAAGTAAGTTAGTTTGTGTCTAAGATGCTTTATTTTAAAATAAAAAGACATTTATTTTAGAGTGCTTCATATTTGTTAATTAATGATTTTCATCCGTGAAGAGATCGTTTTATCTTAAAAAGTAAAATATTTGGTCAAAATATTTTAAAAAGAAATATAAACTAAAATGATAATTTTATAAACGTTGGGTTAAAATTTGCATTACCTAATAACGTAAATCAAATGTGAAAAGTAAGAGTCCACCTCAGCATCCTAAGCTCAAGAATATGCCATGGAATTTGGTTGGTGTGGCTCCCACCTAATCTTCTTAACTACTATTAAATCCCTTGACTTGATGTAAATCCGAGCAGTAATAAGCTACTCATCCTTCTATTTATTTATGTTTATCCCCAACCTCGAACTTCAAGAATTTCTCTTAATAATAATCCCACTATCTTCGAAGCCAATAATATTTCTAAGAGTCAGAATTACGAAAATGAATTGAAATGCATTATTAGGTTAGACGAGTCAAAGAATTTTAAGCTAAATCAGTTGATGAGTCTTATTTTATAACTCAAACTATATTTGAAATTTTTTCAAGTCAAGTCGACTCAAGTCGTTTGAGTCTCTATTTAAATTTAATTATAAATGTTTATAATATTACGATAATAATTGATTCCAATTTAAACGATTTTTCTATAATCATATAAAATATGCATATATATATATATATATATTCATATATAAATACTATATCATGTAGAGTCGATAGATTCGACTCAAACTTGAAAATAAATCTACTAATTACTAAAAAGTTTGAGCTATTTGAGTTATATTTTATAACTTAACTCAAATTTAAATCATTTTCGAGTTGAGTTATGAACCGTTTTTTACTTCTTTAATAAAATCTTCTTAATTAACTGGTTGTTTCTTTCTTCTTCTTTTTTCTTGATAAATCTAAGGTAAATATAAATTATTATTTGTTCAAAGACTATTAATCATTTAACAATAAATATTCATATATTTCCATATGCGACACTTAAGTCGGAAACGTGAAGGGACAACAATGGTTTGGTTGATTGTTTCTTTTTAAACGTCATGTTTATTCTCATATATATGAACCCTTTGTGTCCTCAACATAGAAATCTCTGGAAAATGTATGCTTAATTAAGCAGGAAAACAATTATTTGGATAAACAAAGTATACGTGTACATAGAACATTTGGACTTACAAGATTATTCAGATAATAGGAACACGTAATTGAGAGTAACGTTGAACTCTAATTTGTTCTTAATTATAACTTTGCCTAATTTATTTTATTTTTTGTAGAAGGTCAATAAGCCTTGTTGAGGGGTTGAGTTATTTTGGTAAACCAAATTTTGTACAAATTCTATGGTTATGCCAATTGGCCATTTGTTTCCTACATTTATACATTATTTGTCGGCGCCGGAAAATTTAACCTTTTCAACCTAATTTAGTATTTGTCATAAATTAGGAAGCATATGCGTGGCTTCACCCTAGTCAGCTACATCGGGGTTTTTTTTTTCTATTTACTTTTTAGTCAAAATTACACATGTTCATTGGAGAAATCGAATTTGAATTTGTTAAAGGTGATTGTGTTTTCATGTTTATGGAAAAACGACTTTGAATATTTTACAAATTAGTGTTAAATTATTGGCACATGTTGATTTAGTTAGAAAATATTAAACTTTGGTTTAATGGGGATGTTTTTTTTTTAATTTTGATACTTTTTAATTAGTCTAAGGTGATTTTACAGGTGATAATATATGTTTTAAAGATTATCAATCATTTGACAATGAACATTTAATTATCTTATAGTTGTTAGTGCTCGAACATGTGACTTCTAAGGATAACAATCATCTTTTTAACCACTAAAATAACTTAATTTGTGCTTAAAATTGTGATATTGTATAAATAAAAATTACATATTATTGAATTTCTGCCAAAAGTCATTCGTGCCTTATCTTCATATTGACACCCTAAATCTCTTGAGATAGAATAGGTAGAATTTCGGAAGTGTACTTCTAAAATTAGATTCTTGAGAACTCGAAAGATATAAGAAAAAAGTTTCCGAAATAAGGATATTAAATACTTAGCATATTTTGGGAAGTTGTGACTTGTTGACATGATTTTTGATAGGTCTACATAATTTATTAGAGCTAAATATATTATCAATCGATAATATTCACTTAACATGTTAGTCTACGGATAATCATAATGATCTTATGTTTGACATCAACTCTAAGAGTCGACACTATAAAATTTCTTAATCAAAATCGAGATAAATAATGGAACCACCTCACTCCCATTCATCTATTTTCTATCTTCTTATGGAAATAAAATACCTTTAACACCGTGATATATCGATTTCATCAATCTTATATAATAATAAGATACACTATACTATTAAAACAAAGTCTGAACTCGAAAATTATAAATAACGTTGTTTGAAAAAACAATTATAAATTTTATATATAATTAGTTAAATAAATCTATTGATTTTTTTCTCAACAATTTTGGGATGGACGGTTGAGATTACACAAATCTCAAATGCAAGTTGATATTATATGTATATGTATTATTATATTGTGGATATAGTTTACCAAATCTCAACAACTGATTAAGGTTAATTTTGATTATTAAAAATTGAAAATAAGAAAGTAAAGGATCAATTTAGAAATTTGTCTTTTCTATTGTCAATAAATTATTATATTTGTGGCCAAGAATTTATTGCCTATGGGGTTTTTGTACGAAATATCTTTTGGGGGGGGGGGAGCCAAAAAAGGGATTTGGATATTTTATCATATAAAGTACAAATAAAACAAAAGTGTAATTAAACGTTTTGTACTTAAAAATTAAATGAGTGATCGTTCCAAATTACAAATCAATTGAGTTTTTACTTAAAAATTATAATTAAATAAGAGTTCATTTGTTTTACTAAAAAAATAAGTTATATTTCTTGAAAAATATGTTTCAAAAATTATTTTTTAATATTTAGACGCTTTTGTATAAAGTAATAATTTTTTTAAAAATATCATTATAAATACTAAATAATATTATTCATCATAAAAACACTTTTTATTCACGCTAGAGTAAAAATCCATGAAATGGCTGCAGTATTCATTTATGGTGTGAAATGGGAATTTCTATGAAATTTCCTTTGAATTTAGCATAGAAAAAAACACTTGTAATCTGTTCCCAATTACCTAAAGTAAAAAAAAAAAAAAAGTATAATCTACACCAAGTCGTATCAGAATGCCCATTAGTCTGAAATGTCAGGTACATCCGAACAAAAACCCAACCTAAATTTGCTGCTGCAAAAATTAATTTTTAATTTTAATTCTTTTATTTTAAATAGTTTAAATGATTATAAAATAATAATTATTAAAAATTTATATATTCTATACACGTAATTGTTTAAATTTAAAATCTTTTAAAAAAATAACAATCTCTTTTTTTTTTTTTTGAAATCCCAAGATGATTATGTTGTGAAAATTTTAGATGCATTTTAGTGGAAATTCAGAATTCTGCAAATAGATGATAAAATTCTACCTTTGGGTTAGGTTTAAAAAACATATAAAGGGTACACGAATTAAATTATTTTAATAGTTCACATAATGATGGTTATTTGTAAATATCATAAATTTGAGTACCGAATATTGTAAATAATTAAACTATTATTATTAAATGATTAAAAGTATATAAAATAGATATTATTTTGTAATATTTTAGTTTAGTAAGAAAATATATAAAAATAACATATTTTAATGTGAAAAAGAGTGATTAAAACATGGGTCCCCAACTAGCTTAGAAACCTTCATTTCACCATTTTCTAAAAAGGCAATAAATCAATTTCCATTCTGTTTTGTTGCGTTCAAACAGGTAGATATGGCTAAGAAAGGTACATAAATCAAAATTTTTAACTTGAGATTACCCAATCAAGGCTTCCTTCACAAGTGCCTTGCAGCCTACGGATCTTCATCAAGCTCCTTTATTTAAGCTCCCTTTTCTCCCTCTGTTCTGCTTTCTTAACGGCCTTCATTTCTCTTTTAATTTTTCATCATCTAAACCAAAGCTTCACATAATTTGTTTATTTATATTTCTATCTTCTTCTTCTTTGTTTCTGGGTTTTTGTTCTGTATTATTCTTCCATGGAAGAAGCTAATGGACTCATCGATTTGCCTCCTGGTTTTCGGTTTCACCCTACAGATGAAGAGATCATAACTTGTTATCTTACTGAGAAGGTGATGAACAGTGATTTCAGTGCATGCGCTATTGGTGAAGTTGATTTGAACAAGTGTGAACCTTGGGATTTACCCAGTAAGCTTTTACCACTTCAAAAAGTTGACCTTTTTTTTTTTTTTTTTGCTTTGCTTTGGGTGTTTACCTTTTGTTTTTTTTGCTTAATTTTGCAGAGAAAGCTAAGATGGGTGAGAAACATTGGTACTTCTTTTGTCAAAGAGACAGGAAGTATCCGACAGGGATGAGAACAAACCGTGCAACCGAATCTGGTTACTGGAAAGCAACCGGAAAAGACAAGGAGATTTTCAAGGGCAAAGGTTGTCTTGTTGGGATGAAGAAGACTCTTGTTTTTTATAAAGGGAGAGCTCCAAAAGGAGAGAAATCGAATTGGGTCATGCATGAGTATAGACTTGAAGGCAAATTCTCTTATTATAATCTACCACGGGGAGCAAAGGGAAATGTATATTTTTACTCTCTTTTTTTCTATTTACTGTTTTGTTGGTTGCGGAGTTGCTTTTCATGTGTATCTTTCTTCTAATATCATTGTTGTGCTCTTTGGTACAGGATGAATGGGTTGTTTGTAGGGTTTTTGATAAGAACACAGGGATGAAGAAAACTCCGATTCAAGATCATCAGCAGCTGTTGAGAATCAATTCTTTTGGTTGCGATAATCTTATCGATTACGCTTCGTTGCCGCCTCTCATGGAACCGGGCTGCTCCTCCGGTTTCATCGACAGCGCGGATATCGAATTCAAGTCTGCCGTAGCCTCAAACATCCCAACAATGAATGATCAGAAGACCCTTCTTCAAGTTCCTGGAAATAGTCATTATGGAAGCTCTAACAGTAACATTTTCAACCCTCAAATCCCAATCCAGAATCCAGTCTTCTTCCATCATCACACCACAAATCCGGCCTACTTGCACCAAGGCAGGTCCGGTACCGAAACCGACTTCGGCCGCAACGATCAGGCAACGTTATCGAAATCGAACCGGCAGTGCAAGGTGGAGCAGTTCTCGTCGAACCAATCAGGGCTCAGCACTGAAATCAACAACAATGAGATTTCATCGGTTGTTTCGAAGAACAACATGGAGCTCGGAATCAGCAAGTCATTTGAAGATTTGCGTTGTTTATGGGACTACTAGCTAAAAGTAAATATCTGAAGGATTCATATATTGTCGGGCTTGTTAAATTTTCTCGGAAAATATATCGTCTTTTTCCCCCACCTAGGTAAATTATTATTAGTTTGGAAAGTTTCAAAACAAATTGGGGTGTACAATTGTATAGTTGTAGATTCATGGTGTTCAAATATATTTTTTATTATATCTGAGAAAGGTTTATGTACATGAATTCTTTCTTATGCTACTGAATTTGTTCCCTTTTTAATCTTTTCTCATAGATTCCATGTTCATGTGTTCCAATCAAATTCCCACTAAAAACCAAACATACATTTAAGGTTGTTTATTTTATGTTGTTTTCAATTTATTAAATTAAGTAATTTCCTTTATTCAAAGCAATTCCAGTAATTGTTTTATTTAGTTATATTATTTTGTTAAAACTTACGATAACTGTAAAAAGGAAGCATCAAACTTTAGATTTCAAGAAAGGCATGATGATATAAGGTCAAGTTGGATGTTTACTGAAACGTCAGTTTAACCACCACCTCCATGAAATCAACTGCATGAGTTTCAACTCATTTAATTAATTGGAATTAAGTGAATTTTAATTAAATTTTGTACGAACCGTAATTTTAAAGACGTTTAATAAAATTATGCACGGTAAATATATTAAATATAAAACTTTGATTAATTATTTTAATTGAAATTAAGTGTTTGAATTAGACAAAATTACGAGTCACAGAAATATTTAATTAATCACCCTAATCTCTGCAACCAATGTGCCTTCCCCTGGCAATAACAATCCCACAACGTTTCTTAAACAGCAATGCTTAAACTTAACCTTCCGTCTCAAGTACAGTCATAATTAATAATAAATTATTACACGTGCCTCCCTCAAAACCTTCAATTAATACACCCTTGACCCTTTCAATCAGCTTAGCTGGTTTTTTGGACAACTTATTCCAAGTTGAATTTTTAATGTAATTTCTGAAACAAAATTAAGCCGTATATATCGTTATATTTTTTAATAGTACAAAATAATTACCAGATTTATTATATATTTTAAATATTTTTTTTTAAAAAAATAAATAAATTTGAATTGAACACGTATCATGTATCGAATAATTATCTCAAGTTCAGATAACATAGATGTTCATGATACAATAAAAAAAGGGATAATTCCAATGTTTAAAACATGTTTAATATCTGTCCAAGTAATGTTGTTGAAATGATGAGATGCATTTATTTTTCTACTTTTTTAATGAAGTTGGTACGAAAAGGAGGGTTAGAGTCTTAGAGATGAAAATTTGTAACAGAAAGGGAGAAAAGAAAACATGACGAGAGAAGAAGAATCAAAGAGAGAACTGATAGGGGAATCGGTTATTGAAAGAGAAGAAAGGTTCATGTGATTGTTTTGGGGGAAGGGATGTATACATTGAATCGTTTACTTAATTTTCTTTCTATTCAAACCAAATCTTTCGTCTACCCTTGGGAGATTCATGCTTTCAGGAAAGTTTAACACACACCCGATTTTACCTTTTATGTATTTTTCACCAAGCAATCATTACTAATAATATACTAAATATTCGATTTAAATTAATAATATAAAGTGATTATAATATAATATTTTTATCGAGTTAAAATCTATAATTTTAGGTATATCGAGTCCAATAATATGAATTGACAGAAAGTTGTATTTATAATTGATGAGTGACATAATTATAAATACATACAATAATTGATTATTAAATTAATTATAAAAAGAGATAATGGTCTTCAAGAAATAAGTTAATTTGTATTTTTTTTATCCCGTCAAGAGAGTTTTCAAGGCAATCTCTAAATTCTCAATATTTTAGGTAATAATTTCCAGCAATAGATTCATGTACATTTCTTCAAAAGCTAGTATTTTATTTTTAATGATCTTCATGAGTAGATGCAGTTGGCTCTCTACTAGGCCAAGTGCATACATGTTGTTTTGGTTAAGTTATTAAATATAATTCAATATATTAAGAGAAAGAGAGAAAAATATTTATACATATTTTATTGAAAAAAGAGTACTATTAAAAAAATTTAGATCATATTTTTAAAATTTTAAATCCATAACTGATGATTTGGTATGATAGACCTGATTAATTTTTATATTTATTATGATCTGGTTCTAACAACGTTAAAATCTTTTTTAGCTAATAACAACATATACATATCATACATATGTAACTGTTCAAGCTGCTTAAGATTTCTAAAAAAAATAACAATCTCTTCTACTAGTAAAATTGCTTGACAAGTTTAAATTAATATTATTCTTTTTGAAAACTAAACTAATACTATTGAGTAAGAAAATGAAGAAAAAAAAGCCCTGATTTGTTGCATGAAAACATGGCGATAGCAACCAATTGGCAGCCCCCACCGCGTAATTTTATTTATTTATTTGGTTGACAGCTTTTGAAAGTGAAGGCTCTTTCTTTGGTATTCTGGCGACGGTGATCTTATCCGCCTTTGTTTGCTCATTTCCTCTTCTTCTTTCTCACCACCTTGCTCACTCACAAAGCCCTTCACTTGCTTCATCTTTTCAGAAATATTCTCTGATTTTAATTTAGTTTTGATTTACTGAGATTGCAGGCATGATTAATGCTACACTTTTCTCTGATAATAATTTATTCATATCGTATTTTAAGAATATTATAAGTAATATTTTTAGGCTTTAAAATGATTTTATTAAAGATAGTAATATTTATAAATTTCAAACATAAATGATATGAATTATAAAAACATTAGTTTTAACCCTCGAGGAAAGTCCTCTTTAAACATAGGAGATTAGATTTATGTCGGTAAAGATTTTAGTCTAAGCTTCTAGATTTGATATGGATTTACTTTTCTTGCTTGTCTTCATTAAGTCCATTTATTTCGTCATTAGATTTATCTAATAATCTGTGTTTACTAGTCATTTGACACTGATTTATTGGCAGCAAACTTACCAACCCTATTGGTAAAGTAGATAGATTATTATAGAAATAGAAAGTTTCACATTAAGCCACAGCATTTGAAAGCAATGTAAAATCAATATTTTATATACGAGAACGAATCAAATGATTTTAATAACTAAGGGGCGATTATTATTTCGAGAGGTTTTGAGTTTGAACATATTCTTTGTAACGTTATTTGAGTGTTTATTGTCAAATAATTAAAAGCCTTTCGAACATATATTACATTTATAATCACCATAGAATAATAGAAAAAAATCAAATTTATGAAACAAATCTTATAACTATTTTAATTTTCTAAATACATTATGTATATGCCACACTCAAACAAGTTTTAAAATTTTTAAAAAAATATTAACCTGTCAAAATAGATGGTATTTTTAAAGTATTTAAATAAAAAATATCCCAGACCTCAGTTCTAACATTTATTAATAATTAAATGATATTTTGTAACGATAGGAAAGTTTACATATATTAATTAATCTTCTTAATGAAGCTCAACTAAAACTAGTTCTAATATTTTAAAATAATTTGACTTGATAATTAAATGCCTTATTGAACAGTATCCTGCAAAATTAAAGCAACTCCTAGCTTGGACACCTAGAACTCGATAAACAAATTTTTTCTAAATATATTTTTTATAACCATTAAAATTAAATTTATTGGTAGAATAATTCAAAACAAATTATTTATTATAAAAATAATATTCTCAATTTAATTTATTTTATCCATAGTATTAAAATTAGAAATATAAAAATTTAATATTATATCCTATTAAATAATTTAATATTTTATCATATTAAATATTTATTTTAATTATGCATATGTTAATCTTTCTCTTGTATGGTTTCCTCGTTAATGAAATCAAACCTTTTACCCAAAAAATAATTTAATATTATGTCCTACTAAATTAACTAGTAATTGATAATATTAATACTGTTATTTTATATTAAAATAGTTATATTTTATTTGTATCTAATATACTAAAATACGTTTTATCTTTATATTTAGATCAAAATGTTTTAAGTAAATTCTAATTAAATTAATACTCCATTTCATAATATTAACATAATGAATGAATTGCATTTTAGGGTTTGTTTGTTTCCATGTAATTAGTTTTTCGGAAATTATTTTTGTCGTTTTTTCAGTGTTTGATTGACGGAAAACGGATGGTCAATGTAATTCATTTTCCTGATCAATTAAATTTTCTTTACATTTTCTAGAAAATATTTACGGTATAACTTTTCGTAAGTCATTTTAAGAATTTTTTATTTCAAAGCATAAACCCTCAAAAAATTATTACTTTATATAAATAGTATTAATATATTATTTTAGTATATTTTAATAAAAATATTAATTATTAAATTATATTTATTGATAATTTTGATAATAAAATACAATATTATTTTTTTATTTTAATAATATATAATAAATTATTAATAAAAATAATTTTATTTATTAATTTCATAAAAATAATATTATTGAATTGTTAAATATTTAAAATATATTCCTTAAAATATAATATAATATAATATTCTTATTTTTAATATTATAAATTTTAATAGTTTAAAAATATTATTATTTTAATAAGTAATTAATACACTCAATAATATATTATTTTTATTTTAATAATATTTAATATAATATATAATATTTTTATTTTAATAAAGTATAAAAATATTAATATTTTTATTTAAAATTATAGATATTATATTTTAATAATAATATTAAAATAAATATTATTATTTTATTAATAAACAATATTATTCATTACATTTGGTGTTTATAATAAAAAATTTAAAAAAATTTATCAACCAATATAAAATGAATTATATAACACCATCTAAACACTATAAAATAATATTCAGAAAATACTTTTCAAAAAATATAATTTATTTTACATAATTCAACTTCTTAAATTTATCAATCTGCTGAGGCTGAGGTCAGCAATATTCCAAATCGTAATCTGAACATATTTCAAGGTGTCGCCACGTCGTCGCCAGCTCATTATACAGTTGCACGAGGACTATGACGTAGTGGGCCCTAATCTTTATTTTTCATTATTTCTTTTTGGACTTTTCTTAATTGCATCTCTGTGAAAATCAAGATATTTTTTTTA